CTAGGTTTTTATACTAATTATGATTACCTACGTAACTCGTTAATAACCACACACATATGAATTGTCTATAGGCTTTAAATTAAAAATGTATGATTTTCTAGCTTTTAAAATTAATACATTAGAAATTCCTTAATTGAATGAATTGCCAAATGATTTGACAGGTAATTAATGTTAATTTATCAGAATAAATATAGATTCATTACTGTTATTAACAGAAATGTATATTTATTATTTACAAATATACAGTAAGGGAGGAGAGTTTAATCTTTATAATTAGCAAGAACAATTATTAGTAATAACATAGAATGCAAATATCAATGTTCGTATAATATTGCAAATAGATTACAGGCAAAATGTAGTAAACAACTGGATGCTGACCCAATAATTCAAAGGTGCGATTTTCGCGGTTAGACTTGTAAGTTAATGGTACGATCCGCAGTAGAGTCGTAGATGCAAACCTCCATCCTAGGATGGGGTAGATGTTAAGTGCTTCCTTTTTTTCTCGGTTATTGTTTAACGAAGATCAGTTTATGATGTAAACTATAAAATCCGACAATCATCACAAACCCTGAACATTAATATTATGTGACTAACACCATAAATGAGGAAGCTTTAAAAAACTGTTTTGTCTAACTGTGGGGCTCCTCAGTAGTGCTTATCTAAAACTATGAAGCAGAGAATTGAATCTAGGACATTCGACGTCGCGTACAACCGCCTAACTACTAGAAAACTTGATTTACTTTATTTGACTGTATATTCTCGCTTTTCTTAAAAATTTCTCCACTCATTTTGTTTAGGGTATACTTTTTTAACGCATTAACTTTATCAAGATTTTCTATTGTGTAGCTATAGTTCTATTTAATGGTATAATTCAGTGATGATGATAATAATAATAGTGATGTTAGTGTTTTAAAGAAGACGTGAGATGTTGATTAAGTCAGATAAAACCTAAATTCAAAGGAGTTAATTCATTTGTTCTCTCTTTACAGAAATTCATTCATATGTATGCTTTGAGTACTAGATATGATAACACATACATGATTGATCTATTATTTCTTTTATAGAGTAATAATAAAGCCTACAAATAATCCGGAATGATGATGACAATGACAACAACACAAAAGAATGGTTATTGTAATAAAAAAATGTTAACACAAGCTCAAACATATGATACACACGCATACACACACGCACATTTATACTAGACAAACGGGTTACGTCAGAAGCATCTTATCAATAGAAATGTAGAGATAAGGAGTTTCCAAATAAGTTATATGTTTGTATATCTATCTATTAAAAAATGTCTTTCCAAATTTAATAGAATTATGAAAAGTAATGGTATAACAACTGAACAATGAGTTAGCTATATATTGTAAATTATTAAGTGTGTGGGGCCCGTAATTGAATCGTCATTTGGATCGAACGACGTTGTCGAAAGGGCTCACCAATTTAGTGGCCCGTGGATCTGACTCCTATTTAGATCGTACGAATGTTAGTTATCACCTATCCTCGTATATAATCATCGACTTCAATCGCGTTAGTCAATAACGGAATTACATAAGTCGAATAACGAGAATGGCCTTTGTATGTAAAGTGAATGCGATAGAACAAAGCGAGATGACGCGCAGGGGAGATGGCTGGTAAGCCAACTCCATTTCTAGCCAGGCGTTACGTAATATTTATAGGCAGACAAAATAAACTGCAGACGTGATGAGTCATGGGATATGAAGTGTGCACACATAAACGCTCATATAAAAACAGTCAAGATTGATAAGCGGATAATTAACAAGGTCAAAATATGACTCAAGTAGAATGAATAGATTGAACTGTCCGAAAGCTAGAATAAAGTATATGGGCTTAACATAATGACTGACACTGCAAGTGTTAAGTAGTAATCATAATTTATAATTTTTCAAAAGAATTATAAATCAATTCTGATCTGTCCTCTATGCATTAAAGCTAACTTGTTTGACCCCAAATGCTTTGGTACGAACGCAGGGTGAAGAGGGTCCGCTCTTGCTCTTCAAAGGTACTCACATGACCAAGTCCATACAACCACTGACAAGGAAGTCCTATTCATTGCCTTCTCATGGCGGTGTTGTTTATGAAATTGAGAGGACGAAAAACGAATCTTCGTCGCTTTAATCGGTTAAGTGGATATGGATGATTCATCTAGTGGAGTTGGGAAACCCTAATTCCAAACCATGATGCACATAGGCTCAAGGACCCTTGAGGAACAAATGGCACATGAACCTATTGTTGGTCACTATTTGCCATGGGACTTCATCTAATGTCGCTCCACAGCCTTATATATATCAATAGATTATCGAAGAAATCTTTTCAAATCCGATGCTACAATACCCCATTTAAAGTGCTTTAAGTTGCTTATACGTTGGTGTCGACTTAGCCTATCGTTTTGACCTAGGATTCATTTCAATGAAAATTGAAGGATAGTCATTCTTGAAAAGTACTGTCTAGAGTTTATTTTGTTCTTAGTAAAGGTTTCATCCTTGCCATAAACAAGTAACAAACAGAGTTCCCGTAAATAATACTTGACTATATACGTCAATAATAAATACAGGTCAAGAGAGGGAAAGACCCAGTATTTGGTAAACCACAGAAATAGCCATCTGAAATATTTCAAAAAGAAACTCAATACACAGGATCCACAGTTTCCGAAGGTGAGATGATGATTTAGGATTGATCTGAGACGACGTATCGTTTTATAATAGGAAGTATGGAAATTACGAATTAATGACTTTACTTAAGTGGTTTTATAGTCCATGAAATTTTAGCACACTTATAGAAAGCTCCCTCATTATTTGTCAATCTAAGTCGTGTATGGTAGTATGGGAATATAGAAATACGAAAGTGAGTAAACTGCAGAACAGTTCACTCTATGGTACTACATGATTGAAATATTTATGTGTTTGAGAGTCTCTTTGAAGGATTAATCGTGTGTCTTTAATTCATATAGGGAGAAAAGATGATGAAGTGAGAGAGGGTTTTCAGCATTTCGATTTAATTAATTGAAGAGACCGTGAACATACACGCACCCAAGTATTGCAGAAGCCGGAATGTATTCAACAGTACTAGTTTTTGTTTACGTAGGTTACCCAAGATCCTTTATCTATATTACAAGAGAAAAGATTTAAAAGCCTCATGGTATTCATACTTTCATCGAGTTAATAGCCAAATGAATACCCAACAGTGATACGAAATACTTTACAAAATAACAGTTTTCACTTGTCGTTATACTGGAAGAATCTAGGTTCATTCAAATTAAATGGTTAAAAATGAAGAGACTATTAAAAAGAGTTCTAAACGATGACGAGATAACCCCTTAATAACCAATGTTTTTTGAAGCGAGCAAGAATAACTAATAATAGTAAAGACACCTAGATGATAATAACAAATTACATCACGAACTGATCTTAGTTAAACAGCTTTTGAAAACCAGAAAGCAATGAACTGTTTTGCCGTAGTCTAAAACTTCACAACAGTTAGTAGCAACACCCCCATGGGAGATTTAAACCAAAAGATTCGGTTCATGCTGCAAACACTCAACCTCTAGATAATTAAGCTGGCATCTATTAGTTTATATTGTCCAACTTAAATCAGTTGGTGATATTGTTTATTATTTCCAGGTCTTTAGCTAAGATCATTTTATGATGTAAAACCATTGGGCTACAACAATCTTCATAAAAGCCCTTTATTAACAGTGATTGATTTATTTTTCAAGTTGGCTTACTTCATTTATTTTTCTCTCATGACTAGTTAACATAAAAAACTTAATTTTTTTAAGTATAAAAGGACGATGATAAGGGTACAACATATGAAGGGTATCCATTTAATAGAGCAACTGAAGGGTGTGCACTCTAACAAAGGTGATCATCAGAAAGGTGCGCATTAATTGGGAATAGATTATATCTGAGCTGTTCGGGATTGACATGACTATAGTAACAACAATAACAATTTGTTACGGAATTCGAAAAATTACAGTATTTGCTTAAAGTGGACTCATTATAGGTTTAGGAAAATACGGTATTAGTTGATCGTGAGGTATAGGGTAAATCGACCATATTTCACGCCGGTGAAAATATTATTACCCCTTTCAATGCTGAGCTTTATTAATATGAGCCTTATTGATAGCCACCCTTATTAACGTCTTTTTTATACGCACTGTTTTTCACTCACCATCTTCATAATCACTCTTTTGCTTGCACTTTTATTAACAGTAACATGTAATTATTTTGAAAAGTTTGCATAATATTTAGGACTGAATTTTGATTAATCTTTGCTTGCATATGTGTGCCTTTTGAAGAAGGCCTTGGTATAGATATTTTCATCACAAGTTGTATGGAACAGATTATCTTTGTCCACCTGTAGAATACAGGATACAAGTGTTGTCATAGTCAGGGCTCGTCAATTGGATTAATATGTCATATCTCTGTGTTGATCTTCAAACCGTAACTCAAACACAGCACCAAAAATTAAGATAAATCAAGCTCTTTCTAATAACAATATAAACATCGTACCCGTAGCATGAGTGAATGGTTATCGGCATTCAGTAAAACAATGCGTAATTCGTTGAGCGTCTGAGATACAAGGTATTCAATCCGAGTCTCTGTGTGAAGATCCACACTAAGATGCAGGTAAATCTAACTAACTAGTCATAAATATGATAAAAACACGCGTCCTGGATTACAACGCTAGCCACGATCCATTTATTCTACACAATGAAAACAATAATCTTTGTAAAGTAGGATCGTAAGTACAAAAGGAATGCATCTGGAACTTGTGTTCCATCAATTTCAGGATGTACTTTGGATCTTAGGTGTGTTGGTAATAACACTAAGATTTGAACTTGATAGTTATCGGTGTAAAAATCAATACACAATCTATTAATCTAGTTAGTTATAAACTTCAATAACAAAGAGTAATATAAAATAGAAATGGCTATAATTTTTATCCAAGGAAAAATAATAAAAGAAACTTACCAGTATGAATACTAGCCAAATAAGCTGGTATATGAAATAAAATTTGAATGTATTTTGCAGCAAATGCTAAAAACGCAGCAACAATCGATTGTTCCACAACAGTACTCAATGTTACACCTAACCAGACAGGATTAGTTAGTACACGACGTACGATATGATATGAAGCTGAAATTGAAAAGAAATATGGAGAAAAAAAGACGATTATATTACGAAGCGCAGATGAAACAATTACAACATCGTAAACGGGATATCGAACACACACAAAAATTATCTCTCGTTATAATAGGATGAATATTGGACAGGTTCTACGTTTCACAACTGTTCTACGAAATAATAATATCTATACTATCTTATTTGTATAACTGGTAGGTAAGTGTATGGTTGCATTTCTGTATTACCCTTATTGTAGGCCTTCAATTTACCTGTCAACTGTTATTATGGGTATTATTAATCCCTAATTATTGCAAATTAATTGTGTACTATTTGCTCTACCCTCTATTACTTATGGTATGATTGCATTTAGAGTGTGATTTCTTATTTGATGTGCTATGTTATCAGGCATTTCAAGTATATCATTGTATAGATATTGAGTCTAGTTTACCTGGGTATAATAAAGAAATAATCATCTTCCTATGTGAATCTTCTAATTGGCTACTTGGTGACAAGAGACTAGAGGACCAATAAACGTTAAGGCCTTGATTACGGTACATTAGTCGGTGTGTAAATTCGTGAACATAGGTCAGTTCAAACTGTTACGCCACCGAGTACCGAATTTGTTTGTTAAAAGTTTAAACTGACGATAAAAACATTTGAAATATGAATAAATCCGATTTGTTCTAGTACTTGGTGCGGATGTGAATCTATTTACATTATAGAACGAGATCTGGTGTAAGTACTATATTACAGTTTACATCATGAACCGGTTAATAATAACTAATGATAACTAAACAACTGTTTCATCCTAGTATGGAACTTCTAAAAAGTGAGTACTCATAACTCCAATAAAGTCTTCCGAACTAACAGCGAATTGCACTTGATTTGATCTAAACGTGATGTCTTTGACCATTAGGTTTTGTCTGCAATGGAAAACTTTGACTAATTCGAACTCGAATTTATATCCGGTTGGAAATAAATGTACTACTATCAACGATCTAACCTCAAGCTTTCTAAGACCTTAGACGTGTTGATTGTATTCCGTTCAGTCTAGTCAATCTCTCTTCCTTATGTAATTTATTCATTAGATTGGGTTGAAAATCTAGAAAAAAACTAAGTTTTTTTAAAAATTCAAGTAAAGTTTATTCACCGATAAAAATGTTGAAAACGCGTTTAAAGTTGCACGTGCCAAGCTAATGAACACCTACATTTATCAGCCTGTGTATATCTATCTATCCTGTCTATCTGACTATATTATCTCCAAACAGGTTTACATGTATTAAAACAAATGAAGTGTTTTCTCGTATATATTATTACCCCTTATGCCTTCGCATTTCCCCTTAGTAAATATATATTTATGAACGTTTAATTTTTACTAGAATTCGATTAGTTTCTCATTTATATTTGAACATAATAGAAGTCTTATTTATAAAGTTTTTAATCTACTCTTTGTTAATAATTAAAAAGTAAAATTAACCAATCACATTTAATGCATCCTGATCGAATTGTCTAAAGGTTGTCATTCGATCAAAATAAGTCTTAATATGAACATTACCATTATGACGAAGATATGCTTATTAGCTGATGAATCGCAAGAAGGAAGAAACGCACAACCTGCTAGTCATTATACAAATTTACTAATTATAGACCACTTATATTGGAAAAATAATGTGCTTTGAACAGAAAAAAAAATACGAGAGAAAGACTAGTGAAGTCTTTAACTCCAACTAAAAAAAGGAATCAGTCAGTAAATAAGAACGGCGGCCTGCTTGAATATCTGGGCTACCTGTTCCTCCGATCTACATATTTCTTCAAGTTAACTGTTTTGTTGTTTGTTTTAGCACATCATTATGTCTATTGTGCACACAATCTATTCAGGCGCGTTTATGAAAAGTTTACAACCTTTCACCATACGGAATACAAAAAGGTACAATCGGCGACATCATGGTGGCCGGCAATGTGCATTGAAACGAATGAATATTAATCAAATGTGGATTACCGAACTCCTAACATCTAACTGGTCATCATTCAAAATTTATCGTCACAATCGATCAAGGTATAAGAAAAAGAAACTTGTTGAAATACTTTATGCTGAGAATTTTATGTTGTATTAAAAAATATAATGTTGAATAAAGCTTCTAATAATAATAATAAATATATAATCAAGTTGAACAATCAATCAACATAGGAAACATCAATATATCAACTTGTAAAGTTAAAATACTCCCTAAACTGATTAAGGATAACAGTGATAAGTTGACTATGAAATTAGTTGATTTTTTAGAATTCAATGAGAAAAAGTACAATTTTTTCCCCTTTAAATAATCACTTAAGAAATGATTTTATTATGAAGAGGTCATATTGAAAATAAATTAAACAGAAAACATTTCACTTCACTTAGTTAGTAATCTCTGTTTTTATACAATCTAACTTTATATCATAAAAGAAAAAAGAACCCCAATGAATCTCAAGAGAATTTATCTGTGATATTAATCTCAGAAACCTGATCTGTGAACATTGTATTGTTTGCAGAATTTTGATGATAAACAAGTTGATTAGTTAATTGATGATGTGAAGTTAATTATTACGGTTACCTCTTGTTTATGTCATCATTTTATTCCCATTGCATTAAAATATAAGTTTGATAGGATTTTAATCGTTATTTAAGTGTGCTAAGATAAGTCAGTCAGGTTAGAATGGGACAAACTGGAGAGTCATTGAGTAATGGAACTTTGACGTAAGAGTGTGTAAGTTAATCAGTTACACAACTTTATTTAACTCCATATCATTAGTTGGACAGTAAGCTTAATATGTTGATCATAGTCTAAATCTACATTAGTGAACCCTAAAATACTCAAAAAACAAAATCTAGAAGACAAACGATACAAATAAACACACAAACACTATTACGTATGATCACACATAACAAATTTAATTATTACCTTTTATTTTTGATTTAAGATTAGCTTGGTTTTCACTAAATGAATTATTCAAGGATGTTTTCATGAATTTTCCCAAATTGTCAGATTGATCTCCACAACCAGCTATACCATTATTAACAACTTCGACAGTATTACCGTCAAGAGAATTAAGATGATCACCGCCAATATTTGAATGTGAACGAAAGTGTTGATTTGAAGGGCTAACAATTGTCCCATCACCACTAATTACAGCATCCCTGATAGATGGAGGCGGTGCATAAAGAGAATTAGAAGTAATGGTAGTGGGAGAATGAGGAGGTGTCTTAAGTGAATCAGCATAATTTCGCTTCATTTCAGGTAATCGTTGCTGTTGTTTAAATTCTTCTAGACTTGGATACTGAACATTGCGACTATCCGGTGATAGTGTATTGACCAAATGATTTGATGTTAATGTTTCAACACTTGCGACAGCAGCAGCTGAAACGGCTGTTGTGGTTAGTGATGGTTGTTTGTTTATATTAGGCAAATTATCGGACGATTTTACGTAAGATAAATTCACTTTATTGTTATTTGTATTAAGATTAGAAATATTATGATTATTAGATTGGATTGTAGGGGAACAGATCTATGATACATAGGAAAAAAAACGAAATTGAACACAAGATTAACTTATTCATAGTAAACAACAATAAAATTAATGGCATTACCGTCAAATTATATGTTCAGTTGTGTGAATTTTATCCGTATTTATGGCAGTTACTGAGAATATTTGAGGAAAAATTGGTTAGAACAAAAAGATACACAGACGGAACTAAGCTATTGAATAAATATTCGTTTAGTTTCAGGATCTGAAAAAGTCGAGCATCAGTATAAATGATCGGGAAGTCATATATAACGCTCAAACAGAACATCATATGCATGAGATAAGTACGTCAATGATCAAATATGAATAAACTATTTAGTAAAAAAAAACAGTAAACTCTAACTTAATTTTAAGGTTAAATAATGTAATGACCGCAATTGACTTGAAAACTTATCATACACGTGATGATAATGGATTAACAGTTAGTATTAATTACAAACTTACATAAAACTTCAGCTAAAACTGTCTAGGCAAATTTAGGATCAAAAAATGATACGAAATTCTGGATCGAGTAATAGCGATGAATTTATTGTACTATGCCACGTACACATACATCATGAATGGCAAACGCCATAATAAATGAATCATAAGTGAATCGTAGAATCGTATGATTGTTATTCACATAGGTGACAGAGTTAAATAAAATTTACCATCAAAAGCTATCCGCATAACAATTCTATATCAAAGATCATACATAAATCCAACTCTTATTAACACAATAGTAACATCGTTCAATCAGAGATAGTGACATTAATAATAGTAGTGACAATAATACCAGAAGATATTTTTCAATATATTACAGGGCTGTGGAAATTATTAAGTTTTCATTGAGATCGCAAAATACCGTGTGCTGGTTAAAGTTAGATATTAACATCATTTTATCCCGGCTCAGTGGTCTACAGGTTAGGTGATCGCGTGTAAGTCTGAAGGGGTCGTGGATGTGCAGTGCTAAGGAGTCCCACAATAGGACGAGACGGCCGTCCAGTGCTTCTAGGTTTTCCATGGTGGTCTAGTTTCAATTGACTCATGATCTCAACTATTGAAATTACTACAATCTCCACTTAAAACCCCTTCTGATACTAATATATTATTTATCAGAATGATATTTAAAATAATCTCAGTGATTGAAATGTATAATAATCCCAATATTTCGTTCAGTAATCTTGTTAAGATTTTTCCACAAGGTAATAATCAAAATCAAAATTATCAAAGAAATATATAATATTTAACAATCACATCTACACTAACTACTTATTTAATAATATTTAGATATTGACTTTAGTAAGTAGGATAATATGAGTCCATTATAAAATGTGATTAGGTAAACAGTGTGAAAAGGAGTGAATGTATGTGTATATATGTAACTTATTAAAAGATAAAAGTGCAAATTGAAAAACGTCGACGTGTAGGTAAAATATAAACCACGAAATACATAGTTATGATACTAAAACATTTAAATTACTTTTGTCGGAATAAAACTATATGTGATATAAACAGGGTGGATAGAGATAAGATTCAAATTCTATAACTAAACAATGTATGATATGATTTATTTATCCTAGCTAAGACCATGAGGGATGTCACACAACGTATCTAATCACTAGTTGAGATAATCATGTGGACACCAACCACCTAATCGACATCTTACTACCATGGGTCAGTTCAACAATCAATAACTTTGGGAACCAAAACTACGTTTTTGTTTGGTTAAACCCTAAATTCTACACTAGTAAACATCAAGTTTCAAGGAATGCAGTGGTTGGTCATATGTAATACATATACAAACCTCAATTGGTGAAGATTCACTACCTCATCATCTGATCTGCCATATCGTGCTTATGTTCTGGGCACCTAACCTCAACATTTTCCACATGGCTGCCCCAGCATTAACGAGCAATGCATCGAAGGCAAATATAAGAGCAAATAATAATAACATACTAATATTCCCTACTCAGTAGGGTGGCACAAGTTGGTAAATGCCAACTGAGCCCTCTGAATCCGTGACAAGACTTAATCAAACACCAATGCACATGGGATGACGATACACTTCCAAGCCAAGTGAAGTTATCAACCGACCCGACTACTGCTTCACTTGCTGTCATTAGTTTAGTAGTCGATATAAACCTGTTGTGAAGCGAAATTTCGCACCTAGAAGGAAAGGAATGAAAGTATTGGTACTCAACGCGATGAAGTCTCTGAAACCTTTATCAAACAGAACTATGAGATTTACATCTTTGGAGTCGATAAGCATTGCTTTTTGTATCAACAAACAGTGTAAGAATCTGTATATTTTATAAGAATCTCAGTGCGACAAACATTATTTATAAAAAAGATACATCACTACAAATCCTAGTATCAACTGAATATTAGTGAAGTAAGATAAATACTGAAATCACAAATCGATGTAATTCTACCAACAAAAAATGTAACATAGTTACAAAATGTGAAAAGATTATGAAACAAAACTGGGCAAAATGACGTCAAATCGATTACCTTGAGTAACATATCAATGAATCAGAAAACACTTCAAAATAAAACGTAATAAAATTAAAGTGCATGAACAATTTTTATGGTTAACGAACCAAAAGGATTAGAGCAAGGGCCAAAACTAAACTGTGCTTATGGTTTTACAACGAACACAAACGACAAATCAGAGCGAAGGTAGCAATTGTTGTATTTATGCGAGATTTTTAAGATGGAACAACGTATAGCCTGACACTGGATGACGTGGTTTGAATAAAATTAGTCTTTTGGCTAATTCAGATGGTGGTATGACCGTCGATTACTTACAGAACCAAATTAGACTATTGAGAAATATCATTTTACGTGACTGTGGGCGGTAAATAGCATGCATAGAAGACATGGACTTCACAAATGAGGTTGTTTTACGGTACTTTATATGTTATGCAAAGAACTCTATTAGAAATGCCATCGTTTTTTCATGATCAAAGTTAAAATTGCAACATATCATGGTTTTGATAATTCAGTGGATTACAAGAACATAAATAACTACTGTGCTACAGCATAGACAGCCGTTTACAAGGCCTGCATTCTGATTGTTACTGTTAGAGAATTAGGATAAGGATGTTAGGAATACGGTATTCAGGCCACTTCAAGGTCACTCCAGGAGTTACTCAACATCATCAATATGGTGCAATCCTACGGTGTTCGAAATTAAGAGTCTGAATAGCATCAGATGTTATGGTTACGTGTGTTAGGATTAGGTGATGGCTTTAGGAATATTAAGAGTTATGGGTTATAGGCTGCAATTAGGATATGTGGTCATAGTATGAAAAAGCTTCTCAGTCACCAAAATACCCATGACTGAGTTTTATGAATCACATCAAGTACGCCCGGATACCATCTGGGTACTTCTTATAACTTAGTTTATAAACTGTACTACATTCACTGAATTGTTGCACAAAAGATACTTTCAACAGTTTTTAGAATTGTAAAAACTAAAGACAATTTTTACTTAATTTTAAAATTAAGATCCAGACTATTCTTTACTGTGCTTCAAAATTTTCCGGAGAATCTAATAAGCTCTATCTTAAACCTTACTGGTTCTCCGAAGGTCATCGATATGTAACAGTGTCCCTCAAAACTGAATAATTATAAATTAAAAGGATGAACAAAACCTACTTTATCCGGATCTTCGGTTTCATCGTTTGGAATTGTATTGCTATCACTTTTTTTAATTATTGCAAGTTGTTTAGGAAAACATATCACAGGTAATGCTACAAAGAAAGTTAATGCGGCGCAGACAAGCATACCAAGCCACCAAGCACCAAGCCATAATGGACTATTACGGTCTAAGCCAGTTTCAGGTAACATAAATGGTGAATCAATGTAAATACTTAAGAAACCAGCACCAGCAAGAAATCCACAAGCAGGACCTAATCCACCAGCGCTGTAGAATAATGCTGTGAGATGGTTAATAAAGACAAAAAAAAGAAATAACAGAGTTATGAATTATTTAGTGCATTTTACAATAGTTAATAATAAATAGCATTCGAATTACATAACATTATGCAAATTATCACATGATGAAAACGTCGTTTTGAGCAATTAACTAACTGAATCGTAATACATTTGCACAATACATTTCGATCAATCGGATCACACACATATACTTGTTAAGACGTTTTCATATGAAAGGTCAACTAGACAAATTAAAATGTAAGCGGCAACAAAGAATAATAAAGTACACCTTTGATCTTTCATATAAAAATGTCTTAGCTAGTATATATGTGATCAGATTGTTCGAAATGTATTACACAAATACATCACATAAATGTGATAACCTTCGTCTTCTCATTACATTATTGAAATTTATAAAAAGGACTAATTTTATATTCACTTGGTGTTGTTTACTTGTATCTTCCCAAATAGGATGAAACGCGCGTCCTAGATTCCACTGCTAGCCACTATCCATCTTTGCTCATAAAGCTTGTAACTTCAGACAACATCGAGGTAGTCCGGACAGGATGCACAAATGCCAACATGAAACTGATCAGTTGCAGTCCTAAACATCAATGGGAAGATTCAAGTAAACAATACCAAGTGAATATAACTTCACCCCATTGCACAGGCAAGTGGCTATCAGGACACAGTAGCTAAGTAGATAACGTGATGGTGTTTGGAGCGAACGGTACTGGGTTCGAGTCCCAAAGTGATCATCAACTTTAAGATGCAAGTTCATCCAGCTGACGAGTACCAAATTGGACGAAATATAGTCCTGGATTCCACCACTAACCACTATCCATCATTGCTCATAAAAGGATTAATTGTTTTAAATAACTGAATTGTGCTACACATAAAAGGTTAACATCAGTAACATCAGATCCAGATTATTTCACACCAAATCTAGTCCTAAATCAAGGCACTATAGTAGTTCAATTCGCTTTATTTTATGAGTGAAACACGACAACAATAAGGTGAAAGTATAATTGATGAACCACTCCTACTAAAATTGAGTAAACGTCATTTATGTTTTGGCGTTAAATTGAAAAGTGAATGACTTTTATTTTATAACACGTAAAGCGAAAGGCATAAAATGAAAATTTATTTCCTAATAGCAGTATTAAACACACCAAACAATTATTCATATGGACAAATTCATATATTGTTATTTCTTCAATTTACCAATATCAAAACATGTACAAGACTTCAGTACAGTTATTGATTATGCAAAATCGATTTATTCTTGGCAAAGTTACCTAATAATCAAAAAGGAGTTATGTGGATAATATAATAATTTAATAGTTGAATTCATGAGTCAATGAAAGCTAGACCACCATAGAATTTCGTGGATTGGTTGATGTTAGATATTGAGATCGTCGAATGTTTGCTCAGTGGTCTAGGGGTTAAGTGTTGGCACGCGAGACCGATAGGTCCTGGGTTATAATCTCCAGTGTGGGATCGCGGATGCACACTGCTGAGGAGTCCTATACTACGACAAAACGGCCATCCAGTGCTTCCAGGTTTTCCATGATGGTCTAGCTTTCATTGACTCATGAATTCAACTATTAAAATTACGTTATGTGCATATTCGTTAGTAGTTTGACAGAAACAGTTCATTGAAGGTATAAAAAACATATATATATAATTATATTTATATAATTCCAACATTTCATCAAGCAGACTTATCTCGACTTCTTTAATTATTATCAAAGAATACATAACATTTTAGCAAACAAATTTGCATTAACAGCTTATCATTCGTGATTTACACTGTATACAAAAAGTTTTAACCCCTGTAGATTCTTATGGACTAACAAAATTCACAAGAATAATATATACCATAAAGATTAGGATTAATATGAAAAAAGTAAATATTAATAGAGGTTAGGGTAATACTGACAATTGTGAAAAGTACACAGTAAGCAACATGTTGATAAATTGCAAACTTATATGAGAGTTTGTATCTCTATGAAGTAAGTTCATTTCGTACACACGGGGACACACATACATACATACAGACAACATTAGAGTTGGAAAAAAATATGAAATGCAAAGAACCAGCCTTTACAAGTTGTGTTTATTCTATAAAATAGCTCAGTGACTAAATACACATTGTTTACTCAATCATGAGTCATATTTTTTGTGCTCTTGCTTAGAAATAATGTAAAATAAATCGACGCAAAACTATTGTTTAACCTTGAAATTAATTAACAAAATTTGCGACTTAAATAATTCAGTAGCACATTATTAGGATGTTAAGTCGATCGGAACCTCAACAGGTAGCATCATTTCCTTTGAGATTATGAATGAGTCTTGGTAAAAACAGTTATCTAGCACAAAGTCTAGGTTCAGAGTCTCCTACCTCCTTAAGTTATGTAACCTCTTAAAAAGTGATGAAAACACATCGTCACCAAGTTAACCAGAATTGTAGGCAATACATAAATAAAAATGGATGAAAATTATACTAGCACAAATCAGTTGAAGACAAAAATATGAACCAGGAACTTCTGATGCAGAACTGTGATACAATACCTGAAAATAGTTGGTAAGTACCGCTGAGGAGTTCTAGTCAGTCAGGCATATGCGACGTAGAACTTGTCATATACATTTTTGTTCAAGATGCCACACCACATTAGAATAGATAATAAGTTACAAACAAGAAAACAACTATTTAGGGCTTTCTAATGTTACAGCTAATATTAGGTTGGGTCTAAATGTTTCTCTTGAAATTATAACAAACAGATAGAAATTTACTGGACTTACTAATTTATAATTTAATCAGAGTAATTCCATAAACGAATTAAGTATTCTTAAGTGTTGATTGGTTGAACAAAATATCATAAGCCTTGAGATTATTTAAAACAATCAATGATATTTATGCGAACGGCAAAAGTCTTCAGACATGATACAAACAAAACTCATGTTTTGTATCAGTTAACAATATCTCCATTAAAAAAGTTCGTCTAAATACAGCCCGTTTTGTCTTCCTTCTGAGCAATGACAGAAGACTTGATTGACTGGTCAATAACATTTTTGGTCATTACTACTAGAATTATTAGAATTATTACTAGAAACACACAGGAAAGAAACCAGTGTTCAAGTCCAAGAGTGAACATCAACTCTGAGATACAAGTATATCCAGCTGACGAGTCCCAGGCTGGACGAAACGTGAGTCAAATTGGATTTCACTGCTAACCACTATCCATCTTTGCTTATAATGATCTGAGTTTAGTTTCAAATCAGAAAGTTTCTTAGTACTCTATTCAACTTTTGTTTCTTATTGCCATTTAAGAGTCTGAGAAAACCAATGTTTCCTTTATAATTATGAATAGTTAACATTTTATAATCAACCTGTAAAAGAAATCCAATGCAAATCAATTATAATCCGTTGAATATAAATCTTAAACTGATTACAACATAATGAAGTTAACCAACACATTTGAAATCTGTTGATCGGAGGATAATCATTGAAGGTTTAAGTTCAACAAGAACCAATCAACATCGAGGTCTACAGAACAAGCTGTCAACCAGATGTGGAGAAATTCGACACACCTCATTTCTACCTGATGTTTGTGCTGATGATCTCGTCCAAAAGAACGATGAAAGCTCCACGACCAAACCATCCAGCTCACAGAACAAAACTCCACCAAAACTGATCATTCAACATCTGTCTTTTTTTGTTATTACATCCCTTTTTTCTACATCTTCATTTTAAAAAACATATCTCTAATATGATTAGGTCGATTTCTAATGATTAAACAAAAAAAACAGTGTATATTTTGTTTACAAAAATTAGTGACTTCTTGTTTCTTAATATTCATGACTGGATCTTAAGCAGTCTCCATTGGTATATATGCATAAATGAATAAGTTAGTGGGTATCTGGACACTCAGTTACCCATTAATGTTTAAAGTAGTAGGTGAACTGTTTGAGTCTTAGTGTGAACAACAACAAATTGGAATGTAGGTACGTCCAGCCGATGAGTCCCGAATAGGACGAAAGGTGCATCTTGAATCCCACTGCCAATCGCAACTCAGAATAATGCAATCCAAGGTGAAAAATGGCTTTTTTTTTCTACATACATACTTCATGACGCATCTATACACATAAATCCGTACGCTCGACACAACTTATCTTAAACTGAAGATAAACACATATCATATTGAAATGTAACTTAATAAAAATAACCAATTTAAGAATCACATCAAATTAATCTAGTTGAATGTTTTCCAAAAAAGAAAGAAACTATTTAAAAATGCATTTTTTAAGAACACAAAAATAATTTTGAATTAAGGCATGAAATATACTGAATGCAATCATAATTACAATCATTCAAACATAAATTGCATATTTAAGTAGCTACATATATTTTCATGCAAAATATAATTCATTCACTAATTTATAAAAACCATGTGACACTGTTATGTATTACTATAAATTATCAAAATTTAAGCATCACACGTATGAGTTGATATGTAATAAACAATTCTACCTATGTAAAATTGGTTACCATATTTTTGATGCTACGTGGTTAAAGAAAGCTGGGAGGAAGGTATAGAGTTACGCTCTGTGTAAGTTATAACTTATCAGAAAGAAGTATCTGTAATCCTGAAGTAAATAATGTACCCCGTTAATTGGACCTGACATTATCATCAAGTGACGCAACTGACGATGTTACCACTGATGTAATCAGACTGTAATTGACATTTTCAAGACTAAAGTATTTGCAAAAATTTCGGACTTTGTAACAATTTAATATCGTATTGTTAAGAGTTCTTAGTGTTGATTGATTTGCATCAATCAGTTCACAATGCAGCCACTAGTTTAAGAGAGTGGACTTTATTCAATATTAGATAGGTTAGATGTAATTGACAGAAAAGCCTTAAACTCAGGCTTCCTGTTAGTTGGCATAAATAACATAGTACAAAGTGAAACTGTAATCTACATGTATAATATTAAA